TCCTTTGTGTCCACTCCATTTCAGCCAGCCAACCCATGGCCAGGCCCTGAACACGGCTATCATCTGAAACTACTTGACATACAAAATCTTAAACTTCAATCCATCCTATGACTACACCACAGTGGAGCTGGCATTATTTTCATTCCCCAATTCATGTTCCAACCTTTTTCTCTTTCCACCCCATGCACAAAGTACCTATTGTGAAGTTCATACCAAGCCACTACTTTCCTAGTTCTATCAATTTCCTGGACATCAGTCATTCCCTAACATTAATCTGAAGCCTTGGCTCTGGGATTAGTTTTCCTCCCCATGTCATTCCTTCATTTTATCTAACTTTACTGTCCATGAGGATGAACAATCCAACAATTTAAGCCTTAGAGTTCCTTGACATGCCCAGAGCCTCTCCAGTGTCCTTTGTGTCCACTCCATTTCAGCCAGCCAACCCATGGCCAGGCCCTGAACACGGCTATCATCTGAAACTACTTGACATACAAAATCTTAAACTTCAATCCATCCTATGACTACATCCTGAGCCTTACAGGTCTCTTATTCTCTCCCTGCCACTAAACCAGGCCTTTGACCTCTTAGTCCAGTCCTTTAGTCTCTATTTTCTCCTAGTCTTTTGTCCTCTTTTGCCATATTTACTTCCATATTCAACTCTAACCTCATGATTGATCATGTGAACAAATATTTCCCCAATATGCTAATGGTCTCCCCCGCCCCAATTTTGCTACCACCCCCATCCTTCAGCTGCACACTTACAGTTCCAGAATCTGCCATTTATTTCTCTAACAAATATTTTTGAACCCCTGCTATGGGCCTGGCACTTTTCTAGGCACTGGAGAAACAGCATGGCACAAGACAAAGTTCTATCTGGGAGAAAGATACGAGCTACATAGTACCGGAAAACAATATGAACTATGAAGAATATAAGGTGAAATATGAAAGTGGCTAGAAAGGCCACTTTAGACTAGGAAGGCCTTTAGCCTCAGATTGAGAGGGCCACTTTGAGGATATGACATTTGAACCAAGAACTAGTAACAAGAAGGAGCATTCCTGTACTGGTCTAGAAGAAGAGATAATTGAGGAGACAAACTGAGGGTATGATTGCCCGTGCTGAGGGCTCGCTCTGAAATTTGTGGTCATAAATTTAAAGAAAGACCTGTCACCGTGGTTGTGTTTTTCTCCAGCTATGTTTAGCTGCTCGAATGCAGCAGAGTAGGCAGAAGAATGGGTATTTGCCAGATGAGCCAGTGTCATGAAAGGAGAGAGGAGAAGAGGAATGAATATGGTAATAGTGTAGAATCTGCTAGATAATGTGGGAAGTAAGAACATAGAGAGAAAGTAAATATTTATAGATTCAATGAGCTGACATATGTTAACTCCAAAATAGAATGACTGGAACATAATTATATGAGTATATGGAGACCACAGTATTAAAAAGAAGACAGCACCTGTAGGTCCCTTCTTCTAACGGTGTAATCCTTAGTTTGATTGTACAATTACCCAAGGGGAAGGGGCAAAGATCGAACACTTTAAATTTTTTTCACTAATTTATGAAGTTGTTCTTGATACTACTTTGGTCCAGAGTCTGGTTGAACCATATATGCTTTATATGGTAGAACTGAAATATCTGTTTTCTTCCGGGAGCATTAAAATGTCACTATTATTCTATAGAAATAATCACACAAATCACACATGGACCCCAGCATTTGGGGAAGCTACAAATGGAATTTGGGACCAGCATTGGGGAAAAAATGATAAAGCAAAAATTTTTCAGCTCAGATAAAATTGTAGTGAGAAGTGTTACGGCTCTATTAGAATTTGTTTAGTAGGTTTTGTGGTTTTTACTGGAAAACCTCCCATGAAAAAATTGTGGTGAGGACAGTTTTACCTGTTTTAGATTTTTTTGCCCTATCTCAGTCAGAATTCTGAAAAGGTTTTTAAAACTTTCTCTACCAAAAGGCAGTAATCATTTGAATGAATTTAGTGACAGATTGCAGGAAACATTGTTTTATTAAGTCATAGTCTGCAGGTCCATCAGGCGGTAGTGCTGCCCTGCATTTGTCAGTGCTTCTATTTTCCAGAGACACTGTTTTTACATCTTACTTCTAAACACTCCACAGATTCAACTTTATATATTAAATGTAATCAACAACAAATTTCCTACAAGATTTTTTTTTTTTTTTGTCCTTTTTGAGACCAGCTGCACCATGCTCAGCCAGTGAGCGCTGTGACGTTACCGGTCATCCCTATATAGGATCCGAACCCGTGGCAGGAGCGCTACTGCGCTCCCAGCGCCGCACTCTCCCGAGTGCACCCACCACGGGCTCGGCCCTCCTACAAGATTTTTTATGTCACTTGGCAAGCTGATTCTAAAATTCTTGTGAAAAATCAAATATGCAATAGTCAGGCTAATTTTAAAGGAAGAACAGAGGGAGAGCACTTACACTACTAGATTCTAGCCAAATGTAAATGTGTAGAACTTAAGACAATATGGTGTTTGTTCAGGAGACAAATAGAAAAGAAATGGAGAGTTCAGAAACACCCATACAGATTTAAGGATATTTAGTATATGATAAAATTTCTATTTCAAATCTACAAAAAAGGGCAATGGGCCAATGTGATTGCCCTTTGGTATTCCATTTTAATTCATTAATTTTCTAGCTATGTATTTTTGTTTGTTTTAGCAGGTGCTCTAGAGATTATAATATGCACCTTTAACTTACCACAATTTACACAGAGTGAATATTGAATTACTTCATGCAAAATAAGAACCTTACAGAAATATGTTTTTATTTACCCACACAACCCCGATCCTTGGTTCTATTTGCTGTGGTATGTATGTTACATTTATAGATGTTATTAACCCCCAAATACAAAATACCAGTCACAATTTTTGCTTTAGTCACAAATCTTATGAAAAAATAAAAATGTATAAACATACACATGTAGGCTTTCAAAAAGTTCATGGAAAGATTTGTTATCTTTTAATTCCATTTTTCTATAAACATTTTGAAGTACCCTCATATGTGTTTATACGTGTGCGAGTCCTTTTATATCTGCTACATATTTGCCATTTCTGGTGATCATTTCTTCCTACTAACCTGAGCTGCCATCAACACCATTTCCCACTTTCTTCCAACCTAAAGAACTTCCTTTTAAGGGCATTTCTCGTAGTGCAGGTCCACGGGTGATAAATCACCTCCAATTTTTGATTTTCTAAAACTACCTTTAATTTGCCTTCATTGTTGATGAATTGTTTTTCTAGTTGAAAGTTTTTTCCTCCTGGGCCGGCCCGGTGGCGCACTGCTACAGTGCGCCGCGAGGTGCGGGGGCAACACCGAGGGTTGCGATCCCGTTGCCGGACACGAAAAAAGACAAAAAGGAAAAAAAAAAAAAGTTTTTTCCTCCTGCACTTTAAATGCCTCGTTCTAAAATCTTCTGGCCTTTATTATTTCTCATGAGAAGTCGGTCACTAATTGTATTTTTTTCCCTTGTATATAATGTGTCATTTTTCTCTGGCTGCTTTCAAGATTTTCTTTATCTTTGGCTTTCATAAGTTTGACTAGGATGTGTGCCTAGGAGAAGGTTTTTGTATTTATCCTGTCTGGAATTCACCGAACATTGTGGATCCCTTCCAGCTGCAATTTTAAAGCGTAATCTCTTCTCCAGCTTGTTTCCTTTGGTACGTTTTCCTAGTGCCTTTAAAAATTGTTTTTTATATTTTGTCCAGATTTAATCATTGCTATCTATGGGAGAATTTACACAACCACTTCACTCAACAACTGTTGCCTTAATTTCACTCTTATTATCCAGTTGGGGGAAAAAATAATTCCAACCTCCTACATTCACAAGAATAAATCCCTATAATCTCAGAATCACTAAAACACCTTTATTTTCTCATCTATTACCGTGGTGTTTAGCCAGCAATAGCACTTCGAGAGAGTAGTGAAAGGGTAAAAGCTAGAACTCAGTATATAAAAATGCATTTGACTATCCAATATTATTTTCTTTTTTTGAGCGATTTCTGAAGGTTTGTGTTGATGGATTTTGTGGGGAGGGGCAGTTCTTTTGTTGCTAGTGATTAGAATGTCTTATGCTTTCTTTGTGACTATGTGGATGTCATATGAAGATTGGTATATTGCATGTTAATTATCACTGAGCACACTTAGTGGAAGTATGCTTGAAGAGAAGGCAGTTTTTATTAAGGACTCACGAGTGTACTGTAAATGTTCTAAATGTGAAAGAAGTTACTGGCTATTCTTGCACTTTGATAAGTTCTAAGAACTGTGCTAATTTGGGATGAGGGTTATAAACTGGGAGGCTAGAGAGCAAAAAGGAAACTCATATTGAAACTTAATGCAACTCTGGAAGCTATAAAATGAAGGAATTTTCTTATATCCCAGAACTCTGGGGAGTACCCGATCAAGAGATATTATTTTACAAATTCTTTCCCTTCTTATCTCTAGCCTTCAGAATCCAGGACAGTCATATCCCTTGGGCATAGACTCATGACATTATACATCATGTCAGAGGGTGAACACTTTACATTTGGGGAGAAAGAAATTTAGTTTGGGTACAACTAAAAACTAGGGTTTTTTTTTTAAATAAACTAAATTTTAACATTTACTCATACCTATTTGTGGGGTACAGTGTGCAATGATTCACTTAGGGTAGATGGCATTGTTTTGTGCCTATTAGTCCACCATTTCTCCTCCTCCCACCCCCCGTACCCGTAACATTATTCACTCTCTACTTCTATGAGAGCCACTTATTTTTTTTTTTTTTTTAGATTCCACATATGAGTGAGACCACATATTTCTTTCTGTACCTGACTTCATTTAACATGATGGTTTTCAGTTCCATCCATGTTGCTGTAAATGATATCATTTTTTATAGCTGCATAGTATTCCATTGTGTATTTATACCACAGGATTTTTTTAATCCATTCATCCATTGATGGGTTTTTTTCTGCTTGTTCTTTTCCTTTGTGGAAGGAAAAAGGAGTGGACTATATGAAGAAAATTCTTGATTCTCCATGTCCCAAAGCAAGACACTTACAATTTGCAGCTGCTTACAACCTTGGAAGAGCTTATTATGAAGGAAAAGGTGTTAAACAATCAAATGAGGAAGCTGAAAGGTAATCTCACCTGAGAACAAGATTTTATTTGGATGAAATGCTGAAACAAAGAATAACGTGCCTTATGTTCTCTTCTAGACTATGGCTTTTTGGGGCAGACAATGGAAATCCAAAAGCTAGTGTGAAGGCTCAAAGTATCCTAGGATTGTACTATTCAACAAAAGAGCCTAAAGAATTAGAAAAGGTAACATTTCCTTTGCTTTTCTTTTTTAATGTTAGCATTATATTTAGATTAGTATTTGTTTCACCATTTCCTTTTCAAGGATGTTGGAGAATAAGTGTGTAACTTTGAATATCTCTTATATTTTAAGCAAGTTTACATTTTAGGATCTCAAAGCTCACTTCACACTTTTTACTTCTTTATAAATGCTACTACCTTCCTTACCTCTACCAAAGGAGACCATAGGTGTGAGAGTATTTTGTATACTATGAAAAGCTACCCATACAAAATATTATACTATAAAAGCTAAAAGAAGAGGGAGATTCTTGAAATTAAGGCCTAAATCCTTTTAAGTATGAATAAATTACCTTTAGATTTGGAGAAGTAATAAATGATACTAATTTAATTGAGAATTAAAAATTAAATCCATTTAAGATTTTCACAGAAACAATCTCTTCGATCCTCAATAATTGAAACACTTTCCACGAAATTCTATAAGAAGGAAATGTAGGGCCAAGTCCTACTTCTAAGAGAGGCATTAATGACAAATTTGTAAGAGGCAAGTAGACCATTCTCAGATAACTTGAGCAACCACTTGGAAATAATTTTTTAAACTAATTCAAAGTCACTGTAGCTGAGTATTAAGCAACTGGGCTTGAGAGTACATATAGCTTTTATCCATGGTAGCCTTTGGTCTTGGCAGATGCCATCTCTGAGAGCCAGCTGGAGCTCTAACTCCCTTAGCATCTGCAGCTCTTCCCTCCCTTGCTGTGCCACATAACAAGTGTGTCTCCAAGCCTTTCAGACACTTGGTTCCTACTTTGCACACCTTAATCCTTACTGTGGAAAATCTGAAAATCCTGAAACCTAGGACAGCTGATCCTCCTCTGCTGTGACCTCTGGACTGTGGCCTCACCTGTAGCTGGAGCTCTAACTCCCTTAGCATCTGCAGCTCTTCCCTCCCTTGCTGTGCCACATAACAGGTGTGTCTCCAAGCCTTTCAGACACTTGGTTCCTACTTTGCACACCTTAATCGTTACTGTGGAAAATCTGAAAATCCTGAAACCTAGGACAGCTGATCCTCCTCTGCTGTGACCTCTGGACTGTGGCCTCACCTGTATTATTGGTAGACAGCAGAGGGACTCACCTTTGCACTCTCTTTTAAGCATGTGAATTTGGTGCCGGATGAAACACACTGAAGGGGCTAAGACTATTTCCTAGAGATGAATGATAGTACTATCTTACAATTAGAATTTTTTTTCTTTTCAGTATTCCCTTATTTCACCTTGTGAAAAATAAAATGATGAAAATGTGCCTTTCCCTAGGCATTTTACTGGCATTCAGAAGCATGTGGCAATGGAAATCTGGAATCCCAGGGTGCACTTGGTCTTATGTACTTCTATGGACAAGGCATCCGCCAGGACACAGAAGCTGCCCTGCATTGCTTAAGAGAAGCAGCAGAACGTGGAAATGTCTATGCTCAAGGGAATCTCGTGGAGTATTACTATAAGATGAAATTTTTTACAAAGTGTGTTGCATTTTCCAAAAGGTGAATGTCTTAGTCTGTTTTGTGCTGCTATAACAGAGTACCATAGACTAACTTAAACAGAAATCTATTTCTCACAGTTCTGGATTCTAGGAAGTCCACGATTAAGGTGCTGGAAGGTTCAGTCATCTGATGAGGGCTGTACGCTCTGGAAGGAAGGAAGGCTGTGTCCTCACATGGCAGAAGGTGGAAGGGCAAGCTAGCAGAAAGCTGCTATAAAGCCTTTTATAAGGGCCTTAATCTCATTCACAAGGGAGAGCCCTCATGACCTTATCACTTCTTAAAGGCTCCACCTCTTAATACTATCACATTGGCAACACCTGAATTGGAGGGGACACAATCAAACCATAACAATAAGGTTTGAGTAAATAAGCTGGATGAAAGTATAAGAACTCTTACTAGATGTCCTATGCCCGATCTGTTCAATAGAACTTTCTGCAATGTTGGAAATGCTGGCTGTTGAGCATTTGAAATGTGTCTAGTGCAACTTAGAACTGAATTTTAAAATTGAATTTTAATTTAAATAGCTACATGTGGCTAGTGTTTACCATATTGGATAGAGGACTTCTATGACATTAGCTTTTAGGATTTCAGTGCTATTAGCTTAAGCAAGTTTCTTAACCTCTTAAAGCATTAATTGCTTTATTTATAAGAAGAAAATACTTTCACAGCAGGATTATAAAAATAGTGTATATAAGGTACCTAACACAGCTTGGCACATCAGAAATGTTTATTTAGTAAGTCTTCATTTTTTCCTGCAGTCCTCAGTTATGCAGTTATACAACTGCACAATCGAATAATGGTTAAGACTCTGGCACTACTGTCTTATACGAAAACTTCCTTTCCCTGAATTGATAAGGCTCTATGTACTTTCCTACATTTTTCCCCCATGTGTACGAAAGCAATATATCAAGAAAAGCAGACTTGGCTGTTCTCTCAAGTGGCCTGCAGACTGTACATATGCTGATGTACTTCCGTCTGCCCTTTGGACAGAGCCCACTGTCTCTTATCTCCCCCAGCCCTGTGTGGGGCAGTGATCTGTAAGGGGATGAAGGGAAGCTGCTTCCATCCACTCCCACTTAAAGGAGTGATCTCCGGCGTCCCAAAGCAAGTGCCCATCCTGATTAAAATGAACACTTTAAATAGTTCTTTAAAATCTTTGGAACTTTCCATTATTTTCCTCATTCCTATTCCCCTCACATTGTAGTTAACATGGAGTTGGCTAGATCTCATTTTCACTCTATTCTCCGTATTTGTGTCTGGGTTATGAAGGATGACTTCTTATTGCCCATTTTTAAAAATGGATGTGCTAGTTTCTTAATGTGTTTTCTGGTCTTATGTTACTAATGTCCAAATTCAGGTTGATGTTTCAATACATGATCCAAAGAAATAGAAAGGCTTTTCCCCTCCATTTAGTTTAAATCCACAAGTGATATTAAGCTTAAAATATTAAAATTACAAGAAAAAAGAAACATACCTTTTTTTCTAGTGGTTATCAAGCCTGATGAGTATAATCACAGGGAAACTGTAAAATAACTATAAACTATAGTTTAAGAATAAACTATAGTTCGTTCATCTTCCCCTGATATTGACTATGTTATATTAACACTTCAACACACAGCAAACAAGTTAGTTCTCAAAGGGGTAAAAAGAAATCACTTTGGGCACAAGGACACATCATTTTATAAAAATGTGAGCCATAACTGATGTCCTTTTTAATTTTCACAATTTAACTTTTTATCAGGATTGCCGACTATGATGAGGTTCACGACATCCCCATGATAGCCCAGGTCACGGACTGTCTCCCAGAGTTCATCAGCAGAGGGATGACCATGGCATCTTTCTACCATGCACGATGTCTTCAGCTTGGCTTGGGTATCACAAAGGATGAAGCAACAGCTAAACACTATTATTCTAAAGTAAGCTTTAGAACAAAATATAAATTGACCCAAATAGAAACTGCTGGGCTTTGGCAACTTCATGCATTAGTTTTTTTCTACTTAATTACTGTGCAGATAACCTCTGTCTATAGAGAGGTTGTCAGACTGCAGATTGTTTGCAGACAATTCTTAGCTTCTTATTAGCATAATTAAGCTCAGATGATGAAAAGTCCTATTTTGATGCCAATTATTCTCTTTCATTCTTCTACAATCTGTAGCCTAAAACCCAGCACCAAGACCTTAAAGCCAAAAAGTTCATGTCTTTCACCCAGAAAAAGTGTGAACCTATATCTTCATTCTGGTATCTTTGAAATGTAGTTTTGTTTTTTTTTTTCCTTTTTGTGTTTTTTCGTGACCGGCAACGGATTGCAACCCTCAGTGTCGCGCCCGTACCGGACCGGGACCGGCCACGGGATCGCAACCCTCGGTGTTGCTCCCGCCCCTCACGCAGCCAGTGAGCGGCCAGTCTGTATGTGGGATCCGAACCCTCGGCGGGAGCGCCACCGCGCTTCCCAAGTGGTGCACTATAGCAGTGCGCCACCGGGCCGGCCCTTGAAATGTAGTTTTTAAAAAGTTTTTTATGCATAAACATCTACCACACTTAGAAGGAATATTAATGAGCTTGAGGTAATTAGTTAGAGTCTTTTCATATTTTAATCTATGTGATCAATTTACTTAGACTCCAAAAGGATTTCACAACTGTTTCAGCAACTATTAAAAACTATTAAAAAACGGGGGATCATTATGAATAGTAACTATAAGTGGACTTTTAAGATAGAAAAACAAAAGAAAAAACTATGCATGCCTTAGGTCCATGATATCCATGAATCCAAATTAGAATCACATCATAATTAACTTTGTAAAGTAATTCATGTAGTGCACAAATTGTTCGGCTTGAGCAGAGGGAACAAGGCAAGGAAGAATTTTCTGAGTCCCTTGACTGAATCTGATATTACAGCAGTCGTTCTCAAACTTGTCTGCGTATTAAAATCACCTGGGAATCTTTAAAAAATTCCCAAACTCAGGCCTTATATCAGAACAATTAAATCATGATCTCCAGGAGTGGCACACAAGCATATCTGTTGAAACTCCCCAGGGGATTCCAATGTGCAGGCAAGTTTGGGAACACTAAATTATTTTGTTTGAAATTAAAATTTCCAGAGCATCAAACCCACATTAACATATAAATATAGGAACACAGTACACAACCAAATACAACTGACCTTTATTTACCACTACACCATTCTATTAGTATGAATAATAGCTGTCTTCGTTAACTTTTTAAAATCTAAAGGCTCTCTGTATTATACCAATTTCCAATCCAAGTCAATTTCAGGTTCTATGTTATTCTTAGTATCCTTTCTAAACACAGAGAAAACTGAGTAAAAAATATCCTGAAACTTGGTATACATTCATCCCGAATAAAACAGCAAAATAAACAAATTGCAATCTTAGAACTATTTAAGACCGCACGTAGAATATTGTACTCAATTTGGGCCATTGTATATTATGGTAGATACTGATAAAATGGAGAATATTTAGAGGCAGTAAACAAGTGAAGGGTATGAAATGTCATAAGAAGCATAAGAGAAACAGAATGTTTCATTCAGAGCGGGACATGAGGGGGTCCTAAGAGTGGTCTTCACCAGACTATTCTACAGAAAAGGAACAGTGGGGAAGGGAGCAGAATTAGAGGCAACAACCATATCTTATAGAAAAAGGGAAGGAGGAGAAGAGAGGACATAAAGTCAGGAGACTCATCCTGCCTGTCTCAGTCTGCAGGCTGGGTGACTTTGCCAACTACTTTGCCTCTTAAGAGTTTCTATGAAACCAGCATAATATGTTCTCCTAGGACCCTTCAATGATTCTAAAGTACATGGAGGGAAATTTCAGCTAAATATAAGAATCTTCTAATAAAACTGTTCAGGAAATAAAAACAAGACTTTTCTCTATAAAGTGGTGACTTCTTGTCACTAGAAGCAGCAACCAAGCAAATACCTAGTGACCAATTGTCATGGGTACTGAAGGGACAATTTCTGCATGGAGCAGAGTTTGGAAGAGATAACCTCTGATATCTCTCCTAAATTCTTGACATTCTAGAAATTATGCACCTTACCACTATTTACTTTAGGCATAATAAAATGAATTTTATGTATTTTAAAATAAGATTATTATAAATGCTGTTCACATAATGAGATCATCATCAGTTTGAGGCCAAATGTTAGGCTTTCCATTTTACTTATTTTAATAATTCATAACATAAAATGCTATCATGAGTGCTTAAATTTCCTTTATTCTTGGCACTGATAAAATTTTTTCTCTTTCAAATAATATGATTATTTCAAGTATGATCTATTTTGCATAGTTAAGTTTGAAATTCCCTTATTTTTATTAGGAAATCAGAATAGAAAGTATCGTTTTGAAATTCTTTAAAATAAAGTAGTAGTACTTTACTACTAGAAATAAATCAAGAAAAAGAAAAAGACCCACATAATTAAAATACACCTAAATAACTGACTCTTTGATTTTTAAGGCTTGTCGTCTGAATCCTGCATTGGCAGATGAACTTTACTCCTTACTTATTCATCAAAGAATTTAGACTACAAAGCATTTCAACAAAGATCATCAATCCTAACACCATACAATGTGTGTATTTTTATATTAGCTATGTTTGGTTATTTTCTGCATCCCAAGTTACACTATCCTGGGTATTTTACAGGTGACATGTTACCTACATTTTTAAATTCATATGCTAAAATTTTTGCAACTTGAAGCCTAGATCCAGGATCAAATTTCTGGGAGAGTCCTCAAAGATCCACCTTTTAGCCTACAGACTGGCCTAGACTATAGTAAATATTGAAACCATTCCACAAAGCAAGTATTGTTTTCCTTTTTTAAATACAAAGTATCCAAAAAGTCTTAGTGCAGTTTTAGCGTTAAGTTCAGAAGTAGAAATGCTACAAACTTTAATAAATTTAATTTTTTGTTTCAGTCATTTAAAATTTTTAAACTTAAAATTCACAAAACTAAATAAGGGGCAAAGTAATTTAAAGAATTAACTTTCAAACATTTTTGATAATTGTGTGTAGCATTCCTACTTCTGAAGTTATTAAAGTTAAAACTGCAGTCTTGTATTCTTAAAGAAGATTCTTATTTTTTACTAAGTTATTACAAACTTAAAAAAAAGTGGGTTTAATCTATCTGGAGACAAATGAAAACGAAAAGACAACATACCAGAACCTATGAGATATAGCAAAAGCAGTTCTAAGAGGGAAGTTTATAGCAATAAATGCCTACATCAAAAAAGACTTCAGGGCCGGCCTGGTGGCGCACAAAAAGCAGTTCTAAGAGGGAAGTTTATAGCAATAAATGCCTACATCAAAAAAGAAGACTTCAGGGCCGGCCCGGTGGCGCACAGGAGAGTGCGCCGCTTGGGAGCGTGGCGGCGCTCCCGCTGAGGGTTCGGATCCCATGTGGAGACCGGTTCCCGCTCACTGGCTGAGCGCGATGCGGACGCAGCACCGAGGGTTGCGATTCCGGTACCGGTCAGTAAAAAAGACAAAAAGGAAAAAAAAAAAAAGAAGAAGACTTCAAATAACCTAACATTACAACTCAAGGAACTAAAAAAACAAGAACAAAACAAACCCAAAATCAGCAGAAGGAGAGAAATAGCAAAGATCAGAGCAGAAATAAATGAATTGGAGTTTATAAAACAATACAAAAGATCAATGAAACAAAGAGTTGGCTTTTTGAAAAGATAAACAAAATTGATAAACCTTTAGCTAGATTAATGAAGAAAAAAGAGAGAAGATTCAAATAAAACAAGAATGAAAAATGAGACATTACAAAGGGTACCGCAGAAATACAAAGGATCATAAGAGACTACTATGAGCAACTATATGTGAACAAACTAGAAAACCATGTCCTCAACACATACAAACTAGAAAATGATGTCCTGAACACATACAACTGATCAAGGTTGAATCATGAAGAACTAGGAAACCTAAAAGACCAATATAATAAGTAATGAGATTGAAGTAGTAATAAGGAGTCTGCCAACAAAGAAAACCCCAGGACCAGATGGCTTTGCTGCCAAATTCTACTGAACACTTAAAGAAGAACTAATAGCAATTCTTCTCAATCTCTTCCAAAAAATTAAAGAGGAGGGAATACTGCCAAACTCATTTGATGAGGCCAACATTCTTTATACCCAAACTGAAAAAAGATACAACAAAAAAAGAAAACTACAGACCAATATCCCTAATGAACACAGATGTAAAAATCCTCAATAAAATACTAGCAAACAGAATCCAACAACACATTAAAAAGATCATTTACCATGATCAAGTGGGTTTCATCCCAGGGATCCAAGGATGGTTCAACACACACAAATCAATAAGCATGATACATCACATCAACAGAATGAAGGAAAAAAAACCCATATGATCATTTCAATAGATGCAGAAAAAGCATTTGACAAAATCCAACACCCCTTCATGATAAAAATATTCAACAAACTAGGTATAGAAGGAATGTACCTCAACACAATAAAGTTCATTTCAATAGATGCAGAAAAAGCATTTGACAAAATCCAACACCCCTTCATGATAAAAATACTCAACAAACTAGGTATAGAAGGAATGTACCTCAACACAATAAAGTCCATATATGACAAACCCACAGCTAATATCATACTGAAAGTATAAAAATTGGGAGCTTTTCCTCTAAGGTCTAAAACAAGACAAAGATGCCCACTTTCCCCATTCTTATTCAACATAGTACTGGAATTTCTAGACAGCACCATAAAGCAAGAGAAAGCAATAAAGGACATTCAAATTGGAAAGGAGGAAGTCAAGCCATCTCTATTTGTAGGGATGGTCCTATACACAGAAAACCCTAAAGACTCCACCAAAAAATTATTATAACTAATAAATAAATTCAGCACAGTGGCAGGATACAAGATCAACACACAAAAATCAATAGCCTTCCTATACACTAATAATGAAATAGTTGAAGAAGAAATCAAGAAAGTACTCACGTTCACAATAGCTACCAAAAAAATGAAATACCTAGGAATGAAATTAAGCAAGGAAGTGAAAGACCTCTGCAAAGCAAACCATAAAACGTTGAAAAAAACTGAAGAGGACACAAACAAATGGAAATGATATGCCATGTTCATGGGTTAGAATAATTAATATCATCAAAATGTCCATATTACTCAAAGCAATCTACACATTTAATACAATCCTATCAAAATACCAATGACATTCTTCACAGAAATAAAATTTTAAAAAGATCTTAAAATTTATACAGAACCACAAAAGACCCCATATGGCTAAAACAATCTTGAACAAACAAAGTGGGAAGTGTCATACTTCCTGACTTCAAAATATACTATAAAGCTATAGGAACCAAAACAGCATGGTACTGGCATAAAAATAGAAAAATAAACCAATGGAACATAATAAAGAGCCCAGAAATAAAACCCATGCACTTACAGCCAACTGATTTTTGACAAAGGTGCCAAGAATATATAGTGGGGAAAAGACAGTCTCTTCAATAAATGATGCTGGGAAAATTGGTTATCAACATGCAGAAGACTAAAATTAGAGCCCTGTCCCTCACAATACACAAAAATCAACTCAAAATGGATTAAAGACCTACATTTAAGACCTGAAAGCATGAAATTACTAGAAAAAACAGGGGAAATGCTACATGAAGTGGAAGTGGGCAGCACTTTTTTGAATTAGACTACAAAGGCACAGGCAACTAAAGCAAAATACACAAATTGGACTACATCAAACTAAAAAGCTTTTGCATGGCAAGGGACACTGTCAACAAAGTGAAGAGACAACCCAAAGAATGGGAGAAAATACTTGCAAACTACACATCAGACAAGGGGCTAATATCCGGAATATTTAAGGAACTCAAACAACTCAACAGCAAAAGGACAAATAGCCCAATTTAAAAAATGGGCAAAGGATCTGAACAGACATTTCTCAAAAGAAGACATACAAATGGCCAACAAACACATGAAAATATGCTCAAAATCACTAATCATTATGGAAATGCAAATTATAAGCACAATGAGACATCATCTTATCCCAATTAGAATGGCTATTAATATTATCAACAAGACAAAAAATAACAAATGCTGGCAAGAGTGCAGAGAAAATGGAACCCTCCTGCATTGTTGGTGGAAATGTAAATTGGTATAGCCATGGTGGAAAACAGTATAGAGGTTCCTCAGAGAACCAAAAATAGACCTACCTTATGACCCAGCTATCCCTCTATTGGGTATATACCCAAAGGAAATGAAATCAATACATCAAAAAGACACCTGCATTCCCATGTTCATCACAACACTATTCATAATAGCCAAGCGACGGAATCAACCTAAATGCTCACCAATGGATAAATGGATAAAAAACTGTGGTATATATACACAATGGAATACTATTCAGCTATAAAAAGAAATGATACCAATTGTTTGCAGCAACATAGATGGAACTGGAAACCATCATGTTAAGTGAAGAAAGTCAGGTACAGAAAGACAAATTCTGGGCCAGCCCGTGGCTCACTTGGTAGAGTGCGGTGCTGATAACACCAAGGCCACGGGTTCCGATCCCATATAGGGATGGCGGGTTTGCTCACTGGCTGAGCGTGGTGCTGACAACACCAAGCCAAGGGTTGAGATCCCCTTACCGATCATCTTATAAAAAAAAAAAAAAAAAAAGACAAATTCTGCATGATCTCACTCATACGTGGAATCTTAAAAAAAAAAAAAAGTGGCTAGTTCTCATATTAGTAAAGAGCAGAATAATGGTTACCACAGGCAGAGGTGAGGAGGGGGCTGGAGGAGGGGGAAGGAGAAGTGTTGAACTAGTTAGCAAAACTATGCTATCTACTCTAAGTGAATCACTGTGCAATATATGCATGTATTGAAAAAATATGCTGTATCCCACAAAAAATAAAATTGAAAAAAACAGGTTAAGAAATTGCTTAGAATCTTGCACCTCCAAATCTTTCCTCAAGGACCTTAATAAGTAAAACAATTGCTGTGTTCATAAGATAATCCATTAAAGCAAGATTTTTTTGTGTGTTTCAACTCATTTTCTGTATTTTTTTTTTTTTTTTTTTTTTAAAGATGACCGGTAAGGGGATCTTAACCCTTGACTCAGTGTTGTCAGTACCACCCTCAGCCAGTGAGCGAACTGGCCATCCCTATATGGGATCCGAACCCGTGGCCTTGGTGTTATCAGCACCGCACTCTCCCGAGTGAGCCACGGGCCGGCCCCTCATTTTCTGTATTTTTAAAACCCTAGATATATTTCAATGTAAGGTAAAATGTGAAAAAAAATTCAATGAAATCATCTAACAATATAAGAACTACAAGTAAATATTGTTAAAAAATTAAATTAGCCAAAGACTTTTCTTACATCAATTACTTCTATGAAGGCAAAAGGTGACTAAGTAGTTAAGATCCATATGCATAAGATTATATAGTGACATTTGTGAAACAAATATATTGAAAATGAAGTGTTTTTAAGATACCTTATTTGTAAATATACTATATATGGCTTTATTTTATAAATCACAACCATCTTTTCTGACTGGATTTAAACAAGATCTCTTCTTAGTAGTGGGAAAATGCAATTAATATGCAGGTGACAGTCACTAAACAACTGTTGTATGGCAGAAAATTACTTGCTCTTGTTTTATGTTCTGGGTTATCTATATTACTTGAATTTCATTTTGTCTTTATATAAAGAGAAGAAATTTCAATAGACCGTGAGGTCTGTGAGATATCCTCAAATCGTCATGTACTTCTGTCTTAAATTTCTTAAAAAATATCAACTTAAGGCATCCCTGAAAAACAGTCCTTTTCTTCTAAAATTGCTACTGCAGAGGCTATATTCCACCCCCACCTCCGCCGCCAATAACACTATTCAATGTCTCAAGCCCATATCTGACTTAAATCTCTTTCTACAAGCCCACTCGATCTGCTCTAGTTCTAATACCATCTAAATAACGTTCCTTCAAACATTTGAAGATCCAAATTCCCAACCAGTATTCTCTTCTTCACACTTAATCCAGCTCCTAAAGCCTTTCTTTAAGAATCTTGAAATAGGAACATAATAAAGGAGTGAATGTTGACATTAATAGCACATTTAATCTGCTATCTTTATTCATCCCAAAGTAAAGACTATTTTTTAAATTATCATTAAAACAAAGGTCTCAGAAATCCTAAACATAGGAATTTGACATGTGCCATATGTGATTATATGCTAAATAATATCCTAAATGTCTTCAGTGAATCCAACACAGAATTTAAAATTTCAGTTTAGTTACCATAAAGTGGCACAGGTGAGCCCCTACAAACTACCACTGCTGCAGACAGTGGTATATACCTTGACCTATAAGTAGAGTTAGTCTTTAACTCAAGTGAGTTGAGTCTTCCAGATCATTATTCTTTAAAAAAAAAAAAAAAATCAAACTTCTGTAAGATTCCTTATAGCTGATATGTCGTGAAAAACATATCATAGAAAAGAATTTATCATAAAGAAATATTGAGTCAAAATATTAGTTATTTTTCTCATTTGCAGTATAAACTACAACTTATATGTATAATATTAAATTGTATAAGCTACAATTTAAATGATAGCATAGAATTAATGCATGACATAGACCTTTCCAGTAACTGTGTTAGGCTGAGTTCTTTGGGCTTGGCAACTCCACATCATTTCTCTTCCCTATTTGTATTTTATATGGTCTTTTCTATATCCCTTTCAAGGATAATTCTTATCCATATAAATAGCCAACTCTGGGCTTTTCTGAAGTATCAAATATCATCCTGGTTTGAAAAAAGGATCAAAGAGTTATAACTAGAAGAATTACAGAGATAAAATTTAGTTTACTAATTTTTAAACATTTATCTTTCAGAATTGGTTTCTTATCAAGAACTTGGCAGGTATGAACTATCGGTAATATAATCTATACCAGTTTTAATATATGTCGTATTTTTCTTTCATGGATTCAAACTGAATTTTTATCTTTTATCTTGTATCATTTTCAATATTCCTGGGGATGGGAGAGGGGAAGGTATTCTATTATCACTGTATAATAGATGGTGAAACCCAGTAAAATTAATTGCATGACTTGTCCATGGCCCCACTATCAATAACAAAACAAAACCTGTACTCTGGATCTTACCTAATGCCCCTTGTAGTCTACAAGATTTGATATAATCAAGTCCCTGTAGAGTTGCTAAAATCCACGAAGTAACTTCCCTCTACTTTCTGTTTCCTTATCTCATTCCTGCCCACACTTCAAGGTTCAACTCACATCTTACCTCCCTAATGCCTCATTTCAAGCACTAATTTGGCTCTTTCCATTCACTACAAATCATATTTTCATGTATTTATTTTGTGCCTGGAGAAAGGCAGAAAACTTTATATACTTCCTTATAGAAGTACTTAAGTATAGTGTTTCTACAAAAAAGGCACTCTTATTTAAACTGCCCAAAGTGTTTCAACTTTTTTGGGGGGGAAATATAAGCATCTTAAAACATCATATGCATTTTTATATTTTATTGCATCAAATGCTTCAAACTATGGGAAATCTTTGGTAAAAATAAAGACAATAAAATTTTCACAACAACTTTACACAAAGCATTGCACATCAATGTTCTTTAATACACATGAAATAATATAGGAATGTTCAGAATCCTCAGTGAGGAAATAAACTGTACAATATTCACAGTTCTTTATTTTAAAACAAAACCATTTTCATAAATATTTAAAATATTTCCTAGATTCTTATCACATATTAACATTTGTATTTCAATCAGTATGTTGAACTTTAAAGTATTTATATTATTTAAATAAAAATCAATAAACAAGTTTTTTTTCCTGTTGCCCACTATAGCGTCAAGTCCCTGTCCCCCTCAATTCTGCTTATTTCACATAAAATTAGAGGGAGGTAACTAAAATAAAAATCAATATGGTTCTCAGGCCCTCTGTGGAAAAGAGGAAAATGTTTCATGTCTATTACACAGACATTTCTCTGGTGGTTTATTTGTGCAGTCTCAAACTTGACCAGCTTTAAATTGATCTAAATGAGTTCTCAGCTCAGGACACAGTTCAATTAGCAGAAGTTCCATCAGCACCTGAACCAAAAAGGAAGGAAAAAAAAAATAGAAAAACGTGATTTTTCTCCAAGGGTTTACTCAAAATAAATATCCACGTCTAATTTTAGGTCTGAAATTATTCTCAGTAAATAAGTAAACTCCATTTATCCTCTGGTTTTATCTCATCAACAGTTAATTATAATAATAGCTATTATAATTAGACTAATAATTCAGAGACATGACTGAAAAACTTCATGCAGAAATGTTGCATCAAAAGTCAAGAGAGACAACTAGTATGTGAAAATGGAATACTGCATCCACTGGGGGTATTTCTTTTTTAACAAAATGAACAGACAGATAAAAATGAAGCAGAGAAAATGGGTTCAGAGTTATAAGTAATGATTGATTAAGATCTACCCTAATAATAAAATCCAAGAAACATTGAATCTTCTGGGAGGCTTTAATTTACTCACATATAACAAATGTTTATTAGCTCTTGTTTCTTGCAGTGCATTGAATATTTTTATTATACCATGGCGAGCATTTTGCTGTCCAACAAGGCTCTGAAGCATATCTGAAAAATTAAATTTATATTCTGTGCTTCTATTGATAAAGTGCATTAGTTATTCAGTGAAAGAGACATTACACAATATATACACAATAAATGCATTTACACAAACTACAATTTTAATATATTGCTACCAATTTTAATTAAAATATTATCTTATTTTAATATATTGCTAAACATTTTTACTTTAGCAAGCTTATAAAGCACAAAATTTATTATCTGTTCTAATGTATTTTTCTAGTTAAAAGAAACTATTGTAATTGGTACTGTTCTTAAGATTCCCAGTATAACTTCTTAGCAAGTGACAAGAAATGGCTTAAAAGAAAAAAAGTGTCATTTTTTCTTCATAATAATATTTCCTGACAGATATAAATGAAAAATGCATTAATGGAGTTAATATTCCCTTTCTATCTTTACACTTTTCAGGATGATAATCCAGCCTCACCTGGAATGTTTTCAAGTAGCTTTTGCTGGGCTCTCTGTTTTGTTTCCTGACTTTGCTCTTTGCTTCTGATTTTGGTCGGTGGCGCCAATTTCCCATTTGGCCAAAAAGCATCCCGGAAGACACTGATGTAGTAAACCAACATTTGCTCACTGAAAATCCAGTTCACTGTGTCCCGGATTTGTCTTTTAAGAAAAAGTATTTCTTGGATGAGGGTTTAAAATTTTTTATACTCTTATTTTATACTTTATTCTCAAAATGCATTTATCAAAGGGTAGGTTAAAATACAGCCTGATCTAAATGTTTGATGAATAAACTAGGAATTGAATTTTTTTTTTTTTTTTTTTTTGTCTTTTTCCGTGTCCGGCAACGGATCGCAACCCTCAGTGTCGCCCCGCACCGGACCGGGACCGGCAACGGGATCGCAACCCTCGGTGCCGCTCCCGCGCCTCGCTCAGCCAGTGAGCGGGAACCGGTCTGTATGTGGGATCCGAACCCTCGGCGGGAGCGCCACCGCACTTCCCAAGCGGCGCACTACAGCAGTGCGCCACAGGGCCGGCCCTAGGAATTGAATTTTTTTTTTTTTTTTTGTCTTTTTCCGTGTCCGGCAACGGATCGCAACCCTCAGTGTCGCCCCGCACCGGACCGGGACCGGCAACGGGATCGCAACCCTCGGTGCCGCTCCCGCGCCTCGCTCAGCCAGTGAGCGGGAACCGGTCTGTATGTGGGATCCGAACCCTCGGCGGGAGCGCCACCGCACTTCCCAAGCGGCGCACTACAGCAGTGCGCCACAGGGCCGGCCCTAGGAATTGAATTTTTAAACTCTTACTCTGAAAGTTATTTTTTATTTTGGTAATACTGGATGGCCATTCATTCCTGAAGCTCACACTTTCATTAGCGCTAACTTCTCCAAATGTTTGCCATGTAATACCTTTCAGTCTGCAAAGGTAAGAACTGAGAGACTGATTTGTTGAAGCTTGCAATTACCCTGTGCACAGTACTTAATACACTAGTTTCTCTGTAAAGTGTTATAAACTGAAAGCATAAATCCATTTAAAGACTCTTAAAAATGATCTGGAAAACCTCCCTGAGCTCCTGAAGTCCTTGGTTTTCCATCAAGCTTTTTTACTAGCTGTGCCTTAATGTTGGGATGGCAGATATCTCTTACCCAGAAAAAGCATCTCCCATGCTCATGAGGCAAGGAAAAAGATACTTCCTGCAAAGTGAAGGACTTTGAAAAGACACACTGCTTTTCAAATTTCCATGGGAATGAAAACAGGGCAGACATTAGACTTGCACAATTATGCATAAATGGCTTCTATCTGATTATAGGTCTTCCACACAATCCATTGTCATTAGTCAAATTCTAACTAGTTGCAGGTCTTTGCTGCTAAGAGACAAGTAAACACAGTTCAAAGAGCCCAATAATAGTTGTGAGGTTGGAAGAAAGAAGTCTGTTAAAAAGGAGAAAAGAATCATCTTAGTGCCAGAAACACCTATAATTTCAAACTCGATTCATGAATAATAACAAATCAAAACACCCTTTAAGAATCTGACTTAACCAGACAATGTAAGGGACAGTGGATGGTTTTCAGAAATAGTATCTGAAATAGGCATCTGAAGCCTAGTTCTTTCCATACAGTAATCAGTCACCATTGATTGAATGTCTAAACTCTACTATGAGTCAAACTATAATGTTAATTCTGTTTGTAACTTTATCTTCTAACATACTTCCTTATATTGCTTAGAACTGTGCAATTCAAATCTAGATCAAATAAAACAATTTTATTAATTTAATAGAACTTCTGCTTTAAGAGAGAACCTGCCCACCTGCCTGCCCACCTACCTTCCTAAGAAAAATCTACATAGTGCCAACATCTTGTTTTCTTTCTGTAGTCTTGTTTTTTCTTCCTCACTGGCACTACATGAAGAAATGAAGTAAGTAAATTTCAATTTACAACTTAAAATTAGGTAAGTGACTCTTACCAAAGGTCATCACCTAAGTATTTTCTATCAATTTTAGGTCTTTCTATTAGCCAAAACTTGGAGGAGATTTTTGAAGCAATTCTAGGATCTGAAATTGTTGTTCCTGTAAGGCAAGAGGCACGCATTGTACTGCTTCTAAATTTTGTGATGTGTCATCATCTGCTAAAGGCAAAAATAGCAAAGGGCCAGGTGCTCCATAACTCACTACCTGACAAAAAGTCCACTGAAATGAACAGCCTGAAAATTCTCTACAAGATGCCTCTCCTTCATCCCCATGAAAATAACTGCCAAATTTATTCACCACTCTCAAGCCACAGCTGCTCATTTTATAATTAAGAGCCAATATCATAAACAGGAGCAGGGAAAGTATGCATGATTTGCTGAAACTGAAAAGGAAAATGAATTAGCAAGTCTCAAGTACTGAGAAAAATAAGGCCATTTTGGAAATTTCTTTATCTAAGCCTGTCAATACTAAAGTTTAGAGGTTTGCCTTAGACTGAAACAACTTAAACAGGCCATTTTTCTGATTACAATACTAAATCAACTAAACAAGCATCTGATGGGCAATTAAAAATATATTTTTTTAAATCTTAGAAATAAAAGGGAAGTAAATTTGTTTATGACTGCAAAGAAAATATAGTCTATTTGCAAGTCAATAAAAAATTCTTTATAATGTTTCCTATAAAATTTATAAGCTTTACATGATAAAGCTATCATATTAACCTTGTAAAAATGTTTGACAACTAAATCTTTCACTTTGAAAAAAATTTGATAATTTCATCTTAAAATTTATTTTGCTATACAAAAAAAGTGATTTTCTTTTTCTTATTTCTAGAAGTTGACTCCAGTTTCTAGGCTGATGTTTATTTCTTGAAGAATTTTGGGTATAGAGTTACTATTTAAAAGACCTCGATAACAGCAGTTCCACATTTCAGGCACAGAGACAACGTAAGACATGGCTCAGTGAAGCAGGCACCAGATCAGGAGGCTGGGTCTGCTGACCAGTCCCGTGACCTTAGATAAGTCACTTGATCTCTTTGGTTGTTTCCTCCCCAACAAAATGAGGAGTTAAATTTATCTCTAAGACCCCCTTTAGGCCTGAACCTATCTATGACCTATGTAAATAATTCTATTTGATTTCTGTTGACTACATGATTTTGCAATTATGAAAAATTCCAATAATTTATTAGAAATGAATATTAATCATGAGTTCTCAATAGCAGACCCAAAGCTTTCATAAATGAATGAGTAAAATGTGGAACACTTTTTATGAACAACACTAGAACACTGTGAAAGATGTGTATACATATATAATACTTTTATGTATTATATAATAGTGCTAGATGATATCTAGCACTATTATAAGCCACATGTAAACTATATTACATTATCCACAGACACACACACACCAGGATGGAAGCTCAGATACTAACTAGAAGAATTAACATTTTATTGCTACTTCAACTCTAAAAAAGTTAATGTGTGGTTTGTATTTCCCTCCAAGTATATATTTGCCATGTGATGCTTATCCTACTTTCATTCCAGCTTAGAGTCTACACCTTAAACTGATTTCCATTACGTGAGATAAGAACATTAGACCCAAGATATTCAAACAAGTCATCAAGATCAAAAGGAAACTTTACAGAACACAATCTTCTGGCCCTCATCAGGCAACATGCTGGCTTTTATCATTTAATTCACCATGCTGTGGGAGAAATTCTTTTGGAAATCTGCCTTCCTATGCAATCTTAGAATCACTTCAGAAACAAAAAGAAAGAGAAAATAAAATGCTTTCAGTTAAACCACTGGCTGCTACACCATGGGGTAATCTGACTATTAAGGCAAAGAGTAGGACATGGATTACAATATTAATTTCATACAACTCACTTGTTGATGGTTCTTCCAAAAGTGACCTGAACGAGAGCAATTAATGTTCTTCTCACCCATTTAAACACTAAAATATAAATCAGAAAAATTTTATCACAAGATGATACCATAATTATGACTTTTTTATAGCTGTACAAAGCATAAATCTGATCACAACTCAATCTGCGTCCTAACAGCTTTCATTTTCTTTTTTTCTTTTTTAATTTAATGTTTAGATAAAAAATTATTTTCTTAACAAATTGAATTTAAAGTCAATTGATAAGGAACAAATTTAACACACAAAGATTAACATCCTTAATACATTTAAAATATCTTAAAAATGAATTAGGAAAATCTTAACAGAAATTTGGTAAAGGACATGAGCAGGTAAGTCACACACCCAAAAGAGAGTAAATACGTTCTAAATTTTAGAAAATAGAAAAATGATATTTTTCATTTCTTGGACTGGAAAAATATACTGTATAATTCTGGTGCTATGAGAGAAATAATGTCAAAATCTTCTAGTATAAGTATAAACTGGTAAAACCTTTTTGAATAACAGATTGGATTCATAAATAGAAGTCTTTTTAAAATGTTCATACACTTTCAACCAATTATCCTACTTCTTGAAACTATAAGCAAATAATCAGAGAAAATATATATTTTTTAATGTAGAAGGCAGTTACATAAAAGTAAAAACTTGGGAGTAAACTAAATGTCCAACAATATGAGAATGGCTAAATAAATTATGGACATCCATAAAATGTAATATAATGCAGTTATTAAAATCATAATTTTGAAGAGCATTTAAGACAAAATTTCAAGATGCAATATAAGTGGAAAAGCAGGATTAAAAACTGCACTAAAAGTAACTAGGTATGTTTAAACTCCAGATATACCGCCAAAAAATGACTGAAAAAAATATTTTTTATAAATATATATATATATATTTTTTTGCTAAGTGAGAAATTTATTTAATGTAAATGCATACATTAATAAAAAAGAAAGATTTCAGATCAACAATCACCTTTGCACTTTAGGAAACAAGAAAATGAAGAGCAAACTAAGCCCAGACCTAGCAAAGGGAGTCAATAATAAAAGTTAAAGCATAGATAATAAAGAAATAGAAAATAGAAAAAAAAAATAGAGAAAAATCAATGAAACCAAAAGTTGGTACTTTGATGAGATCAACAAAACTGACCAACCTTTATCTAGATGGACTAAGAAAGAAGAGAGAAGACTCAAATAACTAAAATAAGAAATGAAAGAGGGGTCATTACAACCAAATTTACAGAAATCGAAATGGTTATAAGAGAATACTATGAATAATTGTTGGTCAACAAATTAGATCATCTAGATGAAGTGAATAAATTCCTAGAAACATGCCACCTACCAAGACTGAATTATGAAAAACAAAGTTTGGACAGAACTGTATCTGGTAAGATAAGAGATTATTGTTTTTCAGTTTCCTGATGCTGGACTCCCTTGAGGATTTCTTGCAGGGCTGGTCGTGTGGTGGTGAACTCCTGCAGTTTTTGTTTATCTGGAAAATACTCTATTTTTCTCTCATTTCTGAAGGATAGTCTTGCTGGGTATAGTGTTCTTGACTGGCAGTTGTTGTTTTTTTTGTCTTTTTCGTGACTGGTAAGGGGATCGCAACCCTTGGTGTGGTGTCACCCACACCGAGTTGTTGTTTTTTTTGTCTTTTTCGTGACTGGTAAGGGGATCGCAACCCTTGGTGTGGTGTCACCCACACCGCGCTCAGCCAGTGAGCGCACCAGCCATCCCTATATAGGATCCAAACCCACGGAGGGAGCGTCCCTTCACTCCCCGTGCCACACTCTCCTGAGTGCGCCACAGGCTCGGCCCTTCTTTTGGTATTTTGAATATATCATCCCATTTGCTATTGGCATTTGAGAAGTCTGCTGTTAGTCTGATTGGGGAAACCTTACAGGTGACTTGATGCTTTTCACTTGCTTCTTTTAAGATTCTCTCTTTGTCTTTGGGCTTTGCCAGTTTGATTATAACGTGTCTTGGAGAGGATCTTTTTGGGTTGAATCTGTTTGAGGATCTTTGTGTCTCCTAGAATTGAATATCCATGTCTCTCCCTATACCTGGGAAGTTTCTGGCTATTATTTTGTTGAATGGGTTTTCCATGCCTTTTCCTTTCTCCTTCCATTCTCGAACACCCATGATTCAAATGTTTGTGCACTTAAGGCTGTCTGCTAGCTCTCTTAGATTTTCTTCATTTTTTAAAATTCTTTTTTCCTTTTTGTCTGCCTGGGTTATTTCAAGAAGACGATCTTCAAGATCAGAAATTCTTACTTCTGCTTTTGTTCTAGCCCACTGCTTAAACTCTCAGTTGTGTTTTTTATTTCATTCAGTTCCATCAGTTCTGCTACATTCTTTTTAAGGTATTAATTTCTTTGTAAATTTCCTCCTTCATATCCTGGATTTTTTTCCCTCATTTCATTACGTTGTCTAACCAAGCCTTCTCATATTGCCATTAGTTTCCTTAAGATTGTTTCTTGGAATTCCTTTTCAGTCACTTCAAGGGTTTCCTGCTCTGTAGGGTCTAGTATTTGAGAATTATGGTATTCTTTTGGTGGTATCATATTTTCTTGGATTTTCATATTTCTTGTACTTCTATGTTTATGTCTGGTCATCTAAGAGCAGCTGCTTCTGATATTACTCTGGAGAGGGGGTATGAGGAGAAAGACGTCCTCTTCTTTTTCTGGTCTCTGCTGGTGACTCTCCCGTGTCAACACAGTCGAATGTCTGGTGGGCTGCCTGCACAGTGGCTGTGGTTACTGTTATGGCATCAAGCCATTTTTGCGGCAGCTGTGGCTGTGGCGGTAGCTGTGGTGGGCCATCCACATGAAAGTAGTATTTTCAATGTGCTTCATTGCCTGCTTCCAGGTGAGGGATGCTGCCCTTAGCTCTGCCTAGGCTCCTGGGCATGCTCTGCTGCTTGTCTGCTTCTGGGTAGAGGGGGCTGTTGCCCTCGGCTCCTGTCTAGGCCCCCTAGGCATGCTCTGCTGCTTGCCTACTTTCAGGCAGAGGGGGCTGCTGCCCTTGGCTCCTGCCTAGGACCCCCAGGCATGCTCTGCTGCTTGCCTGCTTCCAGGCAGAGCTAAGTTTTCATTTTCTACTAGGCAAGTGATGAGATAAAACCTAAGAGTTTTTACAGCTTTTCAATGCCTAAACAACAGCTGAGCTAGCAAATGGAAAATAATGCTTTACTTAATATGTCCCTAAGCTACTGACAACATGTCTGTTTTCCACTAGCAGACAGTGGAAATAATTCCTGTTTTAGATTTCTGTTTGGCTTGCTGAACCAAATTTTCTAACATACTGCTCTGAATAAGAAACATCTGTAGTTAAATATTGACAAATATTTTGAAATATTAATGAACTGAGGGTCTAAACATTTGAATAGCAGTTTGTAGATCACTGTGTACTTTTATATATTTTATGCATTTGGGGGAAGAAATGTAAATCGCAAAAAGCCAGGACCCTAAATGAGATGTGAATTGATCAATCTGCTGTACCCTGTCCTATAACAGCTGGGCATAAATCACCTTCTCTGAACCTTGGTTTCCTCGTCTGGAAAAGGACAGTATTGACATGTGCTTTTTTTTTTTTTTTTTCTTTTGGCCAATAGTCTTTCTGTATGTGAAAAAGCATTGTGAAGGGTTCTACAGATATAAACTTTTATTATTAACATGAAGACATTTTAGAGACTATAGACACATTTTACATTATAGAATATGAACATAAACCCAAAGAAGGCAAAGAAATGCTGTAGACAAAGAAATGTCTACAAATTGGAATCTAAATAAAATTTTTCATTTATGTATTTACCTCCATCCATTGAAATGTTTCACTACTGACACATGAGGAAATGAGAAATTCATTATTGGCTACAATGGATCCAGGAGTTCAGGTAAGAAAACATAAAAGGTGAAAAATTCACAAACATCTGTGTACAAGGGCAGCTACACAAATAAAAATCAATAATCAACATAGAATTGGTACTAGACTTTAAGCCCTCAAGTATTTTCTAACTTTTTAATGGATCTAATTCTCCAGTTAAAGTAGCATTAATCCTTCAAGTAAAATTTAAGCCTTGGAATCAGAACCACACCTCAAAAAAACCTTAAACTTTTGATGACATTTGCTAGAATGCTACCAAGCCTGTAGACTTGTTCATTTTAGGTTGGCATTTAGGCTAAAATGAGCATGTCTGTCAGTGATGATAACTTCACTCTGCCTTTTTAGAGCTGGGAAGAGGTAGCTCATACCCCCAGGGTCTGAGGACAAGTTCAACTCTAGGAAGAATGCCTGACAGCTGAGTGGTTATATTTAATTAAAAAAAAAAAAAAAAAAAAAGAAGAAGAAGCAGCTGTATTACTTGTCCCTTTTTGTATACTGCACTAGAGCAGGAACCAAAACAGATTTTGCTACAGATTCTCTCCCATCACTTCTATCCCCTTACTCTCTACCAGTCCCCAACCCACCCCCCAACACACAAAATAGCCCCATTACTCCTTCCAAAGACTCATTTGTTCAAAGCTACAGAGGCAGCTGCAGCAGCACTAGGATTTTGCTGATGGCATCTCATTATGAATGATGTTCTATTTATTCCCCTCTGAAATGTCACTAGCAAAATCAAATATGCTTCTGAGCAGGCATATGATGGAGGAAGTACACACTAAAAAGACAGGATTTTGAGCCTTACTCTGGCCATGACTGGCTCTGACGCATCCACCACACTGGGGATCGGAACGCCTTTTGGTGTTATGGATGTCTAAAAGTTTTTATTGCAAAGAACACACTGACAAAGGCTTAGATAAAGCTTCCTGATTCTTATCAACTATATGGGAAATTAGGAGGATTCATGATTTAATGGGCTAGATTTTATCGAGGGAGAGTCAGACTTTGAGTGGACTGTTATTTTCTTCCATCTATACTGAATCAAATTAAACATCAGTATATATCTTAAAGTGTCCAAAATATGTAAATTCACTAAGGACAAATTTATATATATTTTTGTTTCCCTACAAAGCCATATCTAAAACCTGCAATCCCAAAGTGTTTGATGATTGATAGTATACATTCTCTTAAGTTTGGCTTAGGAGAAGAAACAGTTCAATGACCAAGGTAATTAATTCTGGCCGTTAAAATTTTCTTGCCTGTTCACTCATCAGTGTAACCATCACCTACTATGGATCAGGCATTGTAATATATACTGAGGATCAAATGACACATAAGACATGTACGAGTTTATGATAGCACTTAAAAGCGAAATGTTAAGGGATACATATATCAAAAGGGATGCACTGCCCCATTTCCTACGTAGGACCAACTCTTAGCCCACCTCCTTTGCCCCAAGGGAAAAGATGCTAATCTGAGTGAACAGAACCCAGGACATTCATAGGACACCCACCTCCTTTGCCCCAAGGGAAAAGATGCTAATCTGAGTGAACAGAACCCAGGACATTCACAGGACATTTTACTGATTGGTAGCATTACTGTGTATTACAATCCCTTGCTCTTCTCATTTGCTTCCTCTTCTAGGTGGTTAGGTGTGCCCATAGGCACTTGCCATATCTCTAGCTAGTACTGAGGCTCCAGGTATGACCAGGTATACTCGTCTCATGATTTAGAGTGTTGAAAGGTGGAAAGGTGTGGGCAGAGAGCTATAAGTCCTATTCAGGACTCAAGACTAAACCAGGTAGTCCAGTTTATCTCCCACCAAATTTCTACTCTGGGGAACAGGCATTTGTGCACCTTTTAACAAAATTTAGCTATTGTTTCTTCCAAGTACATCTTCAGGAATCACTAGAGTAGGATTTCTCGACCTCAGCATTATTGTCATTTTGAGCAGGATAACTCTGTTGTGGGAGCTGTCCTATGCACTACTGGATGTTTAGCAGCATCTCTAGCCTCTACCCATTCCATGCCAGTAGTACTCTCCCACCCCACCTAAAAATGTCTGCAGACATCACCGAACATCCACCTCTTCCTTCCACTGAGAACCACTGCTCTTGAGGAAAAAAAGGGGTTGAAAAATAGGGTCAAGGTACTCCTGCATCTCTGTCCATAATACTATCCTAGCACCAAAACCTCACCTTTAACAACAGGTTTCTTCCTCTACTATACAAAATAATTTTTGTATAACTTTTGGTGATAAGGCAATGAAGCTATAATGAGTCATATAAAAACAAATTCAAAGCATTCTCATTTTCTGTATTCAGAGGGACATGGTACAGCGTAAATCAGCACCCTAAGCTCCACGAGTATAGAGACAACATCTGTGTTAAAGTTGTATCGTCAGTACCTAGAACAGTATTTGTTGAATGAATGAATGCATGAATATAAATACATATCTGATGCAGTTCAGGAATAAAGGAACAATAATTGTGTGTGTTTGTGAATGTGTCTGCGTACCATTTAACCAGCAAATACCGATAAATAATAACAAAGAGGCTTACTTCCTCGAAGTTCAAAAATCTCCCCAATCAACATGAAACATGGTTCAGCCAATGCATCTTTCTTTCCATCCATGTCATCACCATAATCTGACAGGTCACTATCCTCTTCTGCCTCCTCCTGGGGGGTACAACAAAGATGACATATCTAAAAAAATTGGTAGATCTGTTCTCCTTCTTCAAGTATAAATCTCAAACTATTTGGTCATGTTTTAGCCTTACATAAGCCTTCAACCTTTATGCAGAAATCTATCAATTTTCAATACGGAGGACAAAATACATCTAACCTTATGTAAAAGCTTGATTCCGAAGTCTTATTCAAAGTTTAAAATAAGCTAATTTAAAAAAAAAAAACCTCTGTTACTGTATTAATCAGTGAACTGGTATAGACAATAAAATAGTTTTCCAACAATTCTGCATTTTAAAGGTAAGACTTTTAATTTAAATGATTTTAAATTCACTGTTTTTTTTTTTAATGTGCACTTTATTTTTAAAGCTCTCATTCAAGCTTTTACTCTGTATTTCAGATAGTCTTATTTCCTGATTTGCATTTCAGCAAGCTTCAGTTCAAAACCCATTATATGCCAGGTACCAGGCTAGTGTGAATGAGGGTGATGTGGATCCAGACTTTCAGCAGCCCACAGCTATCTGGGGAGACATGATACACAAGTAGCTGTTTCTACAAGGCAGGATGCAGTGCTGTCACAGAGGTACATTAGGCAGTGGAGGGACAGCTGAGGAAGTTCATTCTAATGCTTGCACAGAGGTAAAAGATAAAGTTGTGGGACCAAGCAAAGGGCTAATGACAGGACTTTGGGAAACATCAGGTGAGCAGAGGTAAGGACTGATAAGAATTCACAGAGGCAGGAGGAGTTCTCTAAAAATTCACAGCTTCACACAAGTCCGGTAATATCAAATGTTTCAAAGAGACTGAGGAAGGTGAAGATGGAGAAGAAGCCATTGGCCACTGGCACTCACCTTCAGGGAGTAATTTCATAGAGTGACTGAGCCATATGTAAATTCCAAGGGTTTGGGAATAAAAGGGAATTAATAGAAGTAATCTAGCCAAGTACAGACAGACACGAAGGAAAGAGGTGGGAGAGATGCTTGGTTTGGGGCAGCGGGTTTACATGTAGCCCTGAACTAGAGGTGTGGGTATGCTCTATGGTACACACTGACTTCTCCTTCTAGCTCAGAACACGGTAAAGTAGCTCGCTCTTTTTCATCATCAGTTCCCCTGTCTAAACTCACTAGCCAGTCCTGGTGAAGAGGAAGTGGCATTTGGCAATGGACTAGGGAGAAACCAAATTTCAGAAATGATCTTGGGCAATTTGCTAGAGAGCCAAACAAAGGGGCTCAATGGCCTACACATGAGTCATGAGCCTACTCTGGAGGGAAAACTGAGGTCCAGAATATGAAACCAAAAATGTCTGCAGTCTCTCTATTCATTCCTTTACTTACACACATCACTGACAGATTCATTTTGCTTCAAAGTATTCCATGTTCTCCATTTCCTGAGAATAAAGTCTAAACTCCCCAGCTTGGCATGAACCTTACCCCCTTCCCGTCTATCTTTTGACTTTCTTCCATTAGAGAATTATAGAAACCCTCCACTCCTGTCCAATGTCCTGCTGCCTGTTCCACAAACACATCCTCCTCTCCTGAACCTTCAATGTTAGTCCAACACCTCCACAATGACGGCCCTCAGTATGCTTCCCCATTCCTGGGGACTGGCTCCTCCACCTTGTGTAAAAGGGCTCCTATAGAACTTCCCATTCACATTTCATTTAACTATCATCTTATTAATCTTCTTATTTCTCTATCTTAACTCTTTAAAGTGACTTGTAGGGGAGGGCAAGAAGGTGGCCCAAAATATGACAGTAACAATAACTGAAAATGGATATATTTGCTTCCCCCCCTCCCATTAGTGGTATGCTTTCAACAAATATCTGTTACTTCAAAGAGCCTTCAAAAAGATATCTGCATAAATATGCTATAAAAGTGGTACAACCTTTAGGTAACTGAAAATGGATATATTTGCTTCCCCCCCTCCCATTAGTGGTATGCTTTCAACAAATATCTATTACTTCAAAGAGCCTTCAAAAAGATATCTGCATAAATATGCTATAAAAGTGGTACAACCTTTAGGTAGCTCACCTCCTGGTGGGAGAAGAAGTCACGAGGAAGTCTTTCCAAAAATGAAGATAATGAAAAAGTGGTTTTTTTCCCCTGCACATCAATAACCTTGAGGTAGTCAGGAGAAGGGCTCAAAAAGGCATAAAGTGCTTCACTCTGACACAGTCTTTCATCTGAAAGCAGATTCTGTGGAAGAAAGAGGATTAATTACTCCTATATAGGAAACTATCTGTGCTGTTGGGAGCTACTACAAGTAGTACTGGCTGTGTCACAGATTTACTTTCATCATAATTCTGAACCTAAAACCACTTCCTTTTTCCCCTGACATGAACTACATCAGATCAATTCTCAATGATCCTAATGGCAAACAATCCTCTCCAGGTTAACTGGTAGTGCCCTACTCACTCTGCTCGTGGCTGATGTTGTAGAGAACTCACTCTACTTTGCACTGTTTGGTGCAATAAAAAATTTTTACTTTGCATACAGCTCACAGATTCCAGGGGCCACTGCCTTTGACAGACAAATTAACTTTCAGTCATCTGTGTCTGAATTAAAATTTTTTCAAGTTACACGTGGATACCACTCAACCACCCTTTTATGACTATGTTCAGACTTTGTACATCAGCTGAAAAAAGAACTCCGAGTCATCACATGGTGGCACTGCCTGCCAGGTGATAGTTTCATTTCACTGTACCGCTACCTTCCAAGCAGTGCCTGTTTATATAATTTTATAACTGTTTTTATTGTCCCTTAAGCTGGAAATTTCCTAAAGTTCTATATTTATCTGTCCTTAGGAGACAGGAAAGCAGAACATAAATCAAGTCTGTTTATTTACAAGCAAGTGCTATGATAAGACAGTAAAATTAACAATATGACTATAAGTGTCTAATATTATAAGATACAGGTTTTAGGAATAAATAAACCAATGGGAACTATTGCCCATTTATGATGTAACTTCCTTGGAGGAGATGGAACCTTGGAGAGCCGACTACGCTCTTGATGACAGAGACTGGGTGGTTGTGGAGGTTAAGTTCTAGTCTCAGAGGAGTTGTTCCATGTTGTTCATATCCTATTTGTTCAGATGGCAAACCCTATGACCTTTGAGAGGGCCCAATACTGCCACACTGGGATCAAGAAGTCCAAGGGGCTCCATCGGCATTCCAGTGGTTACCAGCCTCATGTATCCTGCAGAAGGCTAGCCTGAACATGGGTAGATCCTGCCTCGGATATAGGGAAGATTAAGGGGGATGGGCACTTAGTGCCACTACTGCCTTCCCTGGCCCTTGCACCCAGTAAATAGGCCTTTATTTCTTTTTCAGAGTATTAAACGTTCAGTTCAACTTGTATATAGAGGTGGATTAGGAAGAGTGAGATATCCTCCCCCATCTTGATTTCCTTCAGCTAATTTATACTCCAACATTATTTTATAAAATAGTAGGATATAATACTAATGCTAAGTCTCAAGTTTAATAGTCAATGTAAATAGGGAAATCATTAAGGGTGACAAATCTGTGGCCTTAAATTATATTCTATTAAAAAGGAAAATAAAATAAATACATATGAAATATCAGAAATGTCATTAAAGATTATGTCTATGGGCAAGATATAATTGGGATTTTTCCATTTCTAAGCTGAGAACAGAAACCCATTCTATATCCCACCCTCCCCAACCCCCAAACATTTAGAGCATGTTATTCCATTCTAGTGAAGATCTAAGATGGCTATTCAGTGGATGAAGGAAAAAGGTATAAAGCATTCCAAGAAGACTAAACAGCACATGCACACCCAGAAGTGGGCAGAAATCCAGCACGGCTGCAGTAAGTAGCATGTATATGTGAGGGATGGGCAAGATGGTATGTAGGTAGGAAACAAGATATAAGTGATGGATGGCCAAGAATAGCTTGATTATTGTATGTCTGTCTGTATTATTAGCAAGCCTTGATAGGGTGTCATATGTCACATATAAACATCCAAGGAAACATACACTCAGTGGAATCTTTTTTTCTGGAAGATCCTGTGGACCTAATATCTGCATTTCAGACTAACCAGTTTGCTTCTTGCTATTGCTGTCTGCAGATGATATATTTGAAATTATAATCTGTTATGTAGCTTACCTAAATATACTGAATAGTTAGTACTTTCAAATAAAGTCTTTGAGGAAATGAAAAATAATTTAGCCATGCCCATACTGCCTACCAGCACTGTGCCAGTGTGCACACTTCTCTTGGCACAACAGCACAACTCACTAACCCATTTCTATCCCCAATCATCCAATAAGAGCAAATACAACATTCTCCCACCCTCTGTTTCTCCGCAAGTGCAGAGCATGAGCACAGTCCTGGCAGCACATCTGACAAATCATCTGAAGGGCTGGAGACCAAACAAACAAACAGACCCTCCCAACAGCAGAGGCTGAAAGAAAACCAAAGAATCAGCTGGAAGACTCCGGTGCTACATATCTGGGCCTTAAAAATCTTGGACTTTGGGGCCGGCCCGGTGGTGCACTGGATAGTGCGCCGCATGGGAAGCGCGGCGGCGC